CTTTTGTATTCCCTAAGCAAGTGTTTAATAACATTTTTTTTATAATGATAATAATAATCATTCAATAAATTAACAGAAAAACATCTGAAAAATTGAGTAAGTCTGAAATGACAGAATCTTTTCTAGTACCTAACTAGTAACACAAACAGCAGTTTGGGTTTTTAGCATGCAGCTGTTGCTAGGTGACAGATGTCATTTACAATTTCACCTGTAGGTGGGGCAAGAATAACTCCGACACATACTTGGTCATTTTTTTATTTATTTGTTTAAAATATGCTATGTCTTTTATATATACATATATGTATATATATGCACTCTAAAAAATGCTGGGTTGTTTCAACCCAACTTTGGGCCAAATATGGACTAACCCAGCTGTTGGGTTAAATTTTTTAATTAATTTTTTAACCCAAAAGTTGGGTTAGGTTTAATAACATTTTTTTTATAATGATAATAATAATCATTCAATAAATTAACAGAAAAACATCTGAAAAATTGAGTAAGTCTAAAATTACAGAATCTTTTCTAGTACCTAACTAGTAACACAAACAGCAGTAGTACAATTAATGCCATCCCCATAAAACATGAAATATGCAGTGAAATGAGACCTGTGACAATCAGTTTAATCAATGTCTTATTTGTTGTTCTAAAAGTCCGAAAGTACTATTCATTAAATAAATGCATATTTATATAATTATTTAACTATAATTGAATACAATATTTTATTTAATAAATTAAGCTATTTGAAAATATAATTAGTGTTGCGAGTTGAAGCAATTAGTCTATTTTGTTGACAAGGTTGGGGAAAAATGTGTCAGTATCATCTTGAATTTCCTCCATCTAAGATGGTATGAACTGTCATTGGAGCAGACCTGGACCTTCAGATGAGAATCATGTCCAGACTCATGGAGAGTGGAACCCACCCACTCCGTGTAACAGGGAGCGCCATACAGAGGCACCATGGACTTTTGGTGAATTAATCCATTCCTCAAGTACAATTAAAATGCACCTCTGTCTATCTATCTATCTATCTAGCTATCTATCTATCTGTCTATCTGTCTATCTGTCTGTCTGTCTGTCTGTCTGTAGTTCTTTTTGCCTTTGTGCCAAATCAAATTTTGTTTGTGTTCAGCTTTTCTAGCCATTTATTTATATTTTCTCTGAATCTAGATTGGCCTCAATGAAAATAAATATTTGAGTTATAAATCAAAGTGTGTGTGTGTGTGTGTGTTTGTGTTGGTGCGTGCGTGCGTGCGCTCGCGCGTGTGTAGCTGTCAGTCCGTCAGTCGAGCAGTGCGGATGAGCCGGATACGCCAACTTCAAGCAATATAGCTGACAAAATTCACATCGAATTCAGACTCGGACACGTTCCACACTCGGAATACTGGCTTCGTCTAAAAATAAACAACTTTTCGGGGCAGACAAACGACAAAGAAAGAAAGTGGGAGTGGGATTTTGCTTGAGACATATTTGAAGGGTTGATGGCTTAGCCTGACTGGGGTGAGTTAGCATGCTAACGCAGCAGCGCCGCAGTGGATGTCTCTCCACCCTCTTATTTTTCTTTAAATTAAACTGACGCCGGTCAAATTGCATTTTATTCTTTATTTTCAGTGGTATCGGCCAGTATTTTGTTTATTTTTTCTTTAAGCGAAGTGTTTAAAAAGCTCCAGAGGGGAGACTGGCTTGGCAGGCTAGCTAAGCATTTTATTCTTTATTTTCAGTGGTATCGGCCAGTATTTTGTTTTTTCTTTTCTTTAAGCGAAGTGTTTAAAAAGCTCCAGAGGGGAGACTGGCTTGGCAGGCTAGCTAGTTAGCAAGTAAGGAAGGCTTACTAATGAAATCTTAAGGAGCTTTTGCAGTTTACGGACGAGAACTTAAAAATAATACGGCTTTTTGGTCTGAACTTTAATGTTATATGTAACAGCAGACTGTTTTAGCACATTTGGCGAGATATTGATCTGTCTAGTGAGCTTATAGTTGAGTTGGTACAGCTAGCTGGCTGCGGTTAGCTAACTGAACGTTATGCCAAATGATATTTTACTAAGAGACAGTTAGGACACCACTAGCTTAAAACACTTGTCACTGTGTGATAGTTAATTTATTGTTATACAACAAACAATGGCCTCGGCTGGTAACACTGTCTCATCGTTTGCGAGCAAAACAAAAACGAAGAAGAAACACTTCGTGGCTCAGAAAGTGAAGCTGTTTCGTGCCAGCGACCCTCTGCTCAGTGTTCTCATGTGGGGAATAAACCATTCGGTGAGTCAAATCTGCAGTCTTTTTCTTTCTGTCTTTCTGCATTAGAGTTAACGAGAAAAAATAAGTTCATGTCTCACAACCGACAATTGGCACCATCTGTTGGGTACATGCACTTCATGACCATCAGAGGTCTGCTTTGATTTTCTGTTGCCTAACTTTCAGTTTAATGGACAACATTATGATTTGCTCCTTTAAACACTTGCAGTTACATATTAATACGTTCTTACAGCATGTAAACAAAACCTATCAATGTTTATATAAAGAATTGTTGACGTAAGGATATTGTGCTTGTCAAAATACTTCTCCCAACTTCCATCATATTGATGGAAAGTAGTGTAAACCTTAATTTTTGTTTAAGTTTATGCGGTAATGAATCTCATTTGTAAGTTTGCTATGTCCTTTTATGTGCACGCAAAGAGGTTACAAAATAATATCTGTATGAGTAATGAAGTTGTGGGTGAGTAATCATTTCCTGTTGGAAGTTTTGGTTGCAAGATGATAAGCTTAGAGGTTTGCTGAAGCTAGACTCATCTCAGCTGACTACTGACTGTTATTGCTTGCACCATTATCTGTCTTTGGAGAGGAAAGCCTCATTTGATGTGTTTCTCTTATAGGCCTACGCATTTCAGTTGGGAGTGGTTCATATTCATATACTTATAGTCTGTTTGACTGTATTTTGAGATGAAAAATGGCAGTATTTGCTCTACAGATAACAAAATCATTCAGATTTAGATGCCTGTATGTGTGTCCCTTTGGTTGTCCATTTATGTTTGGTGTGACAGTCTTCACCTCCAGCTGTTTGTTAGATGTTTCTCTATGAATTAAAGGGGTCATATGATGCGATTTCATATTTTCCTTTGTTTTTGGAGTGTTAAAAGCTGTTCGTGCATATAGAAGATGCATAAAAAATCGCAAAGATTAAAGTCTCAAACCCAAAGAGATATTCTTTATAGTTAGAAAATGTTTATTTACTATTTATTCAGGATTTTTAAGGTATCTAATATTTTGATACTTAATTTCCATGATCTAAATATTCTTAAAAATGTAAAGTTTGTTGTCATTTGGAAGTGTGTAGGCCTTCTTGCATTATTATGCTGTTACATTATGATTATATATTCAGTGGCATAAAATGGTCTTTAAAATGACAATAATATCGCTTATCGCAATTATTTCTGGCGCAATATATCACACAACAAAAAGTTGATATCGTGACAGGCCTACTGAGCCACGCCTTCCTAAAACGCCTCGTTTAAACACGCCCCCACATATCTACTTCACTGTGTGGGAAGATTTGCATAACACCGCCCAAATGTATACGCAAAGAAAGAAGGCATAACTTTTATTCTCTCTGTAGTATTGTTGCCACTGCCGCCATGTCGTGGAGACGCTGTGTGTTTCGTTGCGAAAGCCAAACTACTTTGTTTTGCCTTCCGATAGAGGACACAACTAGAAATCAGTGGTAAAGTTTTATTTACAACACTGTTCCAGAACAGTACAACCCAAATATTGGAGTGTGTGCAGCGCATTTTACGGATGAAAGTTTCATGAACTTGGTAAAGGGCCTAACATTTCCGTCACACGCTTGAGGTATTCGGCCAATCACAACGCGCTGGATAGCTGGCCAATCACAGCACACCGCGCTTTTCAGAACGATGAGCTTTGTAAAAATTAACACGTTTTAGAAAGGCGGGGCGTCGAGTAGCAACAAAAATGTACAGTATGTGGAAAATAATGTGTTTTTTGAACCTTAAACTGCGTAAACACATTGCATTACACCACATACACAAAATAATGTTCTTTTTAGCCACATCATATGACCTCTTTAACTGTCAGTTAGGGGTGGGTGATATGACCAAAATCTTATTTTACGTTATGAGAAATTTTATTTCACGATAACGATGTGTACCTCGATATAGCTATTTTTATTTTATTTTTGTTATTAAAATTAAGAAAAAGAAGCAAATTACAAGCACAACAGAACAAATAGGGTAAATGTACCTATTAAGCTCACCAAAATCTACATTGAGACATTTTTAGTGCACAAGATATCGGTTTCAGTACAAGAAGTTATGTTAAAATAAAATAATCTCTCTCACAAAAATATTAAATTTTATTTTAAATGACAAAAGCATTTCAATTAACCTGTCAACCTGCACCCCCCATTTTGGGATGCTGAAAATGACCTACCTAACTTAAAATGGTAACAGTTCCTGACAACAGTGTGCTACACACACAAAAAAGGTGTCTTTGGAAAGAAGACCCTTTGGGCTTTACTATCCATCATCCAGAGTTGATAATGCTCAAAAAGATACAAAGTTATAGACACTGAAGTGCCTTGAAAAATTGTACCACACTGAATTTTTTTTTTATTTCATATAAAAATACATTAAACGTTACTCAAGGTCTGCACTCTAAAATGCTCTTTATTTAAAGCTGCAGTCCGTAACTTTTTTTTGGTCAAAAATGATCTGAAATCAATATTTGAGCAAGTACATAACCAGCCATTGTTCGAAACTATCGCCTTACTTTAGCCCAATTCACAACGGTTAGTTTATAATAATGTTTTCTAATTTGAGTGGTACGGGTAGGTTTTCGCGGGAAATTCGAGCATGCCGCTGCATCATTACATCACGTCTGTAAACATAAAGAAGTTGTCCCGGCTACTAGGCTATCGCATGTGAGGATCCTGCAGGTGGCGGATCGTTTATAGCCTTTTCTCACAGCAGCCAGAATAATTAAATGTATCATTTTGATGGCGGATTGTAATCCAGAAAGGATTATGTTTATGAAACACATGTGAATGAAATTAAATTATATTCCAGTTATAAATGTGCTTCTGATTACAGATAGCCTGGGATTACAAAGATTTGTATTTTAAAGAAAACCAGTTCGAAGGGAGCATAATTTGCTTTTTGGGTTAAAAACTGTCAGTTAGGGGTGGGTGATATGACCAAAATCTTATTTTACGTTATGAGAAATTTTATTTCACGATAACGATGTGTACCTCGATATAGCTATTTTTATTTTATTTTTGTTATTAAAATTAAGAAAAAGAAGCAAATTACAAGCACAACAGAACAAATAGGGTAAATGTACCTATTAAGCTCACCAAAATCTACATTGAGACATTTTTAGTGCACAAGATATCGGTTTCAGTACAAGAAGTTATGTTAAAATAAAATAATCTCTCTCACAAAAATATTAAATTTTATTTTAAATGACAAAAGCATTTCAATTAACCTGTCAACCTGCACCCCCCATTTTGGGATGCTGAAAATGACCTACCTAACTTAAAATGGTAACAGTTCCTGACAACAGTGTGCTACACACACAAAAAAGGTGTCTTTGGAAAGAAGACCCTTTGGGCTTTACTATCCATCATCCAGAGTTGATAATGCTCAAAAAGATACAAAGTTATAGACACTGAAGTGCCTTGAAAAATTGTACCACACTGAATTTTTTTTTTATTTCATATAAAAATACATTAAACGTTACTCAAGGTCTGCACTCTAAAATGCTCTTTATTTAAAGCTGCAGTCCGTAACTTTTTTTTGGTCAAAAATGATCTGAAATCAATATTTGAGCAAGTACATAACCAGCCATTGTTCGAAACTATCGCCTTACTTTAGCCCAATTCACAACGGTTAGTTTATAATAATGTTTTCTAATTTGAGTGGTACGGGTAGGTTTTTGACAGTCATTATTACCTCTTTATTGGTCGACATTTTATTCCATAATGTTACACAGTTTTGATGCTGAGCAATTCCATGCAAATGTCAACCTTGCCATGAAAAATTTTTTTTTTTACCAAAATAACAAAACCCTTTCAAAGTTGTCCTTTAAGGTCTGTATTTTATTGTATTGATGTGCTGTCAGGGAAATTTTAAGGAAATTGCTTTGTTTATTCACCACATATGAGGTTTGCACAGATAGAAAAGTTAAATTTTCAGTCAACCATATTTCATGCTTTCAAAAGAGGGATCAAAGACTCCCTTTTTTTATACTTTATGTTAACAGTAATCATTTTGCAGAAAGATGGGGGCATGCATGAGAAATAAATACACTCACTTTGTTATGACAGCACCGCCTTGTAAATTTATAAGCGATATATTTAGGAAGTCATGACGCTTCAGTGCTGTGTCACGTCCGTAACGATTTAAATATAAAGTTTATACTGTATAATAAATATTAATAGAAATAATGTCAAACTTCATGTACAAAGCCAAAATATGTCCGTGCTAATTATGATGGACAATTCATCTCACTTACTTGCTCTAAACAACCTTAATTATGCGTTACGGACGTGACCGTTACGGACGCTTCATATTAAATCATGCAAGTGACCAGCTCATATTTGTTCACCATGCTGTTGCTATTAAAATCACTGGCTCACATTAAATTTACCTCTGTTACTGTAGGCTATATCAGAACATTTCAGTAACCAATTCATGCTAGTAACATAAAAAAAAAACATTAAATTCATTTTTAATAAAGAGAACATCATTACATTTTTAATAAAGACAACATAATTAAGATTTACATATCGCCATAATGAATTTAATTATAAAAATTATAAATATTATTACAGTATTTAATAGAGAGAAGAATAGACGTGCGCAAATGTTTACTCAGCTGATCCAGCTGATCGTACTGTACCTTAAAGGACACGCCTCTCGTGATGACGCGTTTTCCCTTTTCCCTCATTTTCTTTCCCGCGCGCGCCCTCTGTTGACCAAGCGGAGTTATTTCTGAGGTGACTGCAGATCTTCTATTTCTGGATAAATATCTACTTTATTTGAAGTAAATGGTAAGTAATTTGATATTTACATGTATGTGCATTTTAATTTTGAGAAAAGTGTATAAGTTACAATAATAAATAAAATATCTAAAATATCTTGTGGCCACGGTGGCCTGTGTACAATGAAAGAATCAGTTCAGTTTTAACAATTTTTTTTATTTTTTTTATTCAATGCTAATAAAAGTAATTAATATAATACAACAACCAATAAAACGATATACAATAACCAACAAAGAAACAACAACAAAATGTATTTATACTATACAACTCTCATCCTATAGCGCAATGGCAAAAACTAATGCTGAAAGACAAAGGGAATTCAGAGAGAGGAAGAGGAATAATGAAAATTTCAAGGAAAAGGAGAAGAAAAGAAAAAAAGCAGAAAGACTAAGAAAGAAAGAAACACAATCAAATCAAGAGGCAGAGAGAGTCAGGGAGCTTGCTAGAGAAAGACAGAGGAAAAGGCGTTTGCTGAAGAGGTCACAGGTTCCTGCTTTACTTCAGGAGTCACCACAGAATTCACCATTTAAAACAAGACAGTCTCTAGGCAAGGCACTAAAACGAGCACTCCGAGCTTTACCTAGCAGCCCTCGAAAAAAATGTACAGTTATAAAAAAGATTGCAACATCACTGTGCCTTCTTCCAGAGAAGAAGAAAATGAATCATGTGACCGCCACCACTACTACATATGATCATGTCAGGGAATTCTATGAGAGAGATGACATCTCTAGGCAAGCACCAGGAATGAGGGATGTGGTCACAGTCAGAGAGGGAGGAGTGAAAAAGAAAATCCAGAAACGGCATTTAACAATGTCTATTCTAGAGGCCTACCGCTACTTCAAAAATGAACATCCAGATTCTATAATTGGAAAATCTAAATTTGCTGAGCTTCGACCATCTCATGTGCTCCGGTCTTCAGACACTCCAAGAAATGTGTGTCTTTGCCGATATCACGAAAATATTAAGTTAGCCCTGGACTGTCTGCAACATGTCATCCCAAGGCGGGCATTCCAGAGCACACAGGATTTTGTTGAAGCTGTGGCCTGCAATCCAGATAGTCCCCTCTGCATGTTAGGACAGTGTGCTGAATGCAGGAATGGCAAGCTCTTGGAAATGCGTACCCTCTGTAACATCCCAGAAGAAGATAACCAAATTAAGGTGACCTGGTACGCATGGGAAACAACAGAAGGGCTGCCAAATAAGGTCCAAAAGAGTGGCACACTAGGTGATGTACTTAATTTTCTCAAGACAGCGGCTACAAAATTTGTGCATCACTGTTTTGTTAAAAAACAGCAAAGTGGATTTTTCCAGGCCAAAAAACTGCAGGCAAAAACAGACCAGGAAACTGTGGTGCTGCAGGTAGATTTTGCCGAAAATTACACCGCTGCCTACCAAGACCAGATCCAGTCAGCACACTGGCATCAGAAGCAGGTCACAGTGTTTTCCTCAGTCCTGTGGTCTGATGGAGATCCTGAGTCATATGCCATAGTGAGTGACAGCCTGGAACACGACAAGAGGTCTGTGGCAACCTTCCTCTCCAAGATTGTGGAGGACATTAAAATGAAACATCCTGCAATGAAAGAGATTAACATATTTAGTGATGGAGCTGCTTCTCAGTTTAAGAACAAGTTCATCTGGTGTTTCATGTCAACTACATTCAAGGAGCTGTTTCCAGCTTTAAGAGTACAGTGGCACTTCTTTGCCACAAGCCACGGCAAAGGTGCAGTGGACGGTGTAGGAGCAACAGTGAAGCGTGCAGTTAACACTGATGTCCTCTGCAGACAGGCAGTCCTTGTGACAGATGCTGCTTCATTTGTAGCTTCTGCAAGGAAGAGTTGCCCAAACATCAACATCAAACTCATTACATCCAACGAAATTGCAGATTTTATACAGCATCATAAGCTAAATGAGAGATGGGCCATTACCTCAGCTGTTCCAGGCACTCAATCAGTACATCACATGGAGCCAGTCTCCTGGGGAAAAGTGCGTCACAAAATCTACTCCGAGGCAGAACAGTCCGGTGTCCATACATTTCTGCTCTCGGAAATCACATCTGCTGAAAGTCCCGAACACCAGTCCTCTGAGCATCAGTCAACAGCTGCAAAGAACATCAAAACTGGAGACTGTGTCTTGGTCCAATTCAAGGCAAACAAATCATTCAGGCAGTTTGTCGGACTTGTTAATAACCGAGAGCAGGAGGCACTGGAAATAAGGTTCTTAAGAAGGAATGACAGAGCTGGATTAGTGTACATCTTACCTGTGATGGAAGATAAAGCTTGGGTGACATCTGACCAAGTGATTGAGACTTTCAACCCAAAAGTAGACAACAGAGGGAGGTATCACTTTGCAGAGGCAGTCTTTGCAGAATAGAAAGAGAAAAAGAAAAAAAAAATCTAATTAATCACATTTGTACTAGTTTATTTGATGTTTTGCATGTTTGTTTCGCCTTGATTGATGTTTTACATTAGCTTTTACATTTGATAATTTCATCTTTACAATATTTAATAACATGTAAAAAGTAAAGACTGACTACAATTAATTAATTTTACTTTATTTTATGTCTACAGTGAATTAACTTTATTAATTAATATTTTGTAAGTTTCTTATTCACAATGATTCATGCTCATAACAGTGATCAATATACTGTATTATACTGTATAATAAATATTAATAGAAATAATGTCAAACTTCATATACAAAGCCAAAATATGTCCGTGCTAATTATGATGGACAATTCATCTCACTTACTTGCTCTAAACAACCTTAATTATGCGTTACGGACGTGACCGTTACGGACGCTTCATATTAAATCATGCAAGTGACCAGCTCATATTTGTTCACCATGCTGTTGCTATTAAAATCACTGGCTCACATTAAATTTCCCTCTGTTACTGTAGGCTATATCAGAACATTTCAGTAACCAATTCATTCTAGTAACATAAAAAAATACATTTTTAATAAAGAGAACATCATTACATTTTAAATGAAGACAACATAATTAAGATTTACATATCGCCATAATTAATTTAATTATTATAAATATTATAATTATTATTACAGTATTTAATAGAGAGAGACGAATAGACCTGCGCAAATGTTTACTCAGCTGATCGCCTACGTCCTACTGTACCTTAAAGGACACGCCTCTCGTGATGACGCGTTTTCCCTTTTCCCTCATTTTCTTTCCCGCGCGCGCCCTCTGTTGACCAAGCGGAGTTATTTCTGAGGTGACTGCAGATCTTCTATTTCTGGATAAATATCTACTTTATTTGAAGTAAATGGTAAGTAATTTGATATTTACATGTATGTACATTTTAATTTTGAGAAAAGTGTATAAATTACAATAATAAATAAAATATCTTGAACACACTGTGGCAACGGTGGCCTGTGTACAATGAAAGAATCAGTTCATTAATAATAATTTGAACGGTTTGATGTGATGAGCTAACTGATCTTTAGATTTAATCACCATTGGTAGCGAGATTTAAGGTAATGCTTTTTTCTTCAGGTGGTCTTTGTATTTATCTCCTGTTTAAATAAAGAGAATTTTAGAGTGCAGACACTGAGTAACATTTAATATAAGAAATAGGTCTTTGCACCTACAAAAGCTGGGAGAGTGCAGTGAGTGTTGAGATTGGAATATAAAAATACATGAAATCAGTCCTGGAGCAATCCAGAAAGGTATGGGTTGAACGATTTTTTAGCTTCAGACTTTGATTTTAGTTAAGTATTTATACTTTTTAAGTATATTTTTTATTTTATTTATAATTTTTATTTATTTTAATTCATGTTTGAGAAACTTGAAATTATTTGAAAATGAATTATATTAAAAATAAATGTGTAAAATAAACATACTTATACTTTAGATGACAACTTCCTGATAACTAAAGCCAAGGTAACACTCATTTTACATGCAGCACGCAGTAAAAATGACATGAATATGACAGTGCGCAAATGCATAAATCAGCATAGTTTGAAATAACGAGTTTAAAGTTGATCACGCGTCTCCAGTGAAGCTGAACTCTCCTCCTGTCCGGATTCAATTCGCACGGATCGACTGTATCGACTGTCACACACGATCAGGCAATATACAAATGCACACTTCACAAGATCTCACAGCTGGATTCGACTGATTCGACTAAGTTTGTGAAATTAAATGTTCATTAGTCATTTCAAGGTTTGTTTAAATGATATGCGTATTTGCTGAATGCTGACGGCA